TGTCATTAAATGAGTTACAATGTTAGACATGTCAATTGAGTAAACATTGTAGAAGTTTTTTTCCTTTAAGAAATAAAAGATCTGAATTTCCTTTTCACATTGTTTTATTCTAATGTTTGGGGCCCTATTACTCTACCTTCTGAAACTGACTATAAGTATTTCACTACTTTGAATCTTTGATTATGACTACTCTAGATATACTTGGATTTATCCTATGCAATTTAGAGATGAAGTGTCGAAGATTGTGAAAGATTTTCAATGCATGATTTTTACTCAATTCCAAAACTGAAATTCATATTTTCCAGTCAGACAATGCAAAGGAGTATTTTCATGGTAATCTCACAGAGTTCTTTGCTTCGTGTGGATCCCTTCATCAAAGCTCCTATACTAAGGCACCTCAACAAAATGGTGTTGTTGAGAGGAAAAATCATCTTCTTGAAGTTGCTCATGGATTATTACTCCATATGCATGTCCCAAAACGCTTTTACATGGATGTTGTTATGTATGTTGCATATATCATCTTAGTTGCTAGAGTATAAGGCCCAACATCAACTGTTGTTTCTTAAGGCCCCTTTGTCCTCTATTCCAATGTGTCTTTGGATGTCGTTGCTTTGCTCATGACTTGTCCCCTACTCATGGTAAGCTTTATCCTTGTGGTACCCCTTGTATTTTTCTAGGTTACCCTTTGTCTCAAAAGGGCTACCGATGCTATGATCTTGCTTTACGCAAGTACTATGTCTTCATTGATGTGTCCTTTGAGAGTAGGGTTGAGGAGAAACACGCTCAGGTTCAATTACCTCCTCTTCTATATCCTCCTCCATTCCATGTCTTTCTCCATCACCAAAAGAGCTAGCAGAGTTTAAGAGCCATGGAATCTGAAACTATGCTGCCAACATCATCAAGCTCTCCAAAGGCAAATCTTCATCAGCCAAGTACACTTGTTCCTATCGATATACTTGATCCTCTTGATATTGATCTTCCTGTTATTGATCTTGATGTTCTTATTGCTAAGAGAAAGGGTGTTAGATCTTGTACTACTAATCATCCTATTTCTCACTTTGTGTCTTATGATCATATTTCACCTTCATATCGTGCTTTTCTCTCCTTCATTGACAGCATTTCTATCCCTAAGAATGTGGCAGAAGCCTTATCCATACCTGAATGGACAGATGCAATGAAGGAAGAAATTAATGCCTTGCACAAGAATGGCACTTGGGAGTTGGTTGATCTTCCTGAAGGGAAAGAACCACTGGGATGCAAGTGGGTGTTCACAGTGAAGTATAGGGTTGATGGTATGATAGAAAGGTACAAAGCCAGATTGGTGGCAAAAGGGTTTACATAGGTGTATGGAGTAGACTATGCAGAAACCTTTGCTCCAATAGCCAAGATGAACTCTATCAGAATCCTCCTTTCACCGGCAGCTAATCTTGACTAAGAACTTCACCAATTGGACATAAAAAAAATGCATTCTTGAATGGTGACCTAGAGGAGGCGTACATGACTCAACCTCTGGGTTTTTGTTGCAAAGGTAGTGAGCAAAAGGTGTGTAGGTTAAAAAAATCATTATATGGGTTGAAACAGTCACCTTGGGCCTAGTTTAGTAAGTTTCACTTGGTTGTACAACAGGTGGGATTTAAATAATGTCAGTTAGATCATACTTTGTGAAGAAAGGTGAAGGAAAAATTGCAACTCTAATAGTGTATGTTGATGACATAGTGGTCACAAGAAATTGGAAGACTAAAATACAAAAGTTGAAGAAATTCTTAGCCACTCAATTTGAGGTGAAAGATCTAGACCCCTTTCGTTATTTCCTTGGGATTGAAGTTGCCCGCTCTCAAAAGGGCATCTTTATTTCTTAAAGGAAATACGTCTTAGATCTATTAGAGGACACAGGCAAGTTGGAAGTGAAGCCAACTGATTCACCCATTGACCCTAATCATCAATTGGGTGACAATCAGAGGGGCTATGAAATATGTGAAGAAGTGCCAAAAACTTGTAGGGAGACTAAAGGAAATACGTCTTAGATCTATTAGAGGACACAGGCAAGTTGGAAGTGAAGCCAACTGATTCACCCATTGACCCTAATCATCAATTGGGTGACAATCAGGGGGGCTATGAAATATGTGAAGAAGTGCCAAAGACTTGTAGGGAGACTCTTATATCTGTCTATGACTAGACCTGGCATTGCTTATGTTGTGGGTGTCCTTAGTTAGTTCATGCATAATCCCAAGACTTCCCACTTTGAAGCTGCAAAAAGGATCCTTAGATACCTCAAGAAGTTCCCAAGGGCTAGTTTGTTATTCTAGAAACATGGGCATTTGAAAGTTGAAGTGTATACAAATGTTAACTGGGCAAAGGTAGTTGATGACAGAAAGCCTACAAGTGGATATTATACTTTTGTGGGACGAAACTTAGTCACCAAGAGAAGTAAAAAACAAAGTGTGGTGGCTAGGTCCAATGCTGAAGCAGAATACAGAGCTATGTCTCATGGAATTGCTGAAATCATGTGGATAAAGAACCTATTAGGTGAATTGGGATTTACAGTTAACAACCCTATGTCACTCTATTGTGACAACAAAGTTGCTACCAACATTGCTGCCAACCCAGTCCTCCTTGATAAAACAAAACATATTGAAGAGGACAAGCATTTTATTGGGAAAATTTGTGAGTTGAGAAGTATGCACTCCTTATGTTAGCTCAGAAAAACAACTTGTAAATATTTTCACCAAGGGTCTTCATCACTTGCAGCACAATGATTTGTGTGACAAGTTGGGCATGATTGACATTTATGTCCCAACTTGAGGGGGAGTGTTAGAATAACTAATATTTCATACTGTTTTATGTTATGTAAGTGGCACAAGGGCATAAGAGTCTTTTTCTCCTTTTTTAAGTGCCACCCTATATATAATAAAGAATTTCGGCACCACAAAAAATGATTCACTCTCCCAACTTCTTCTCTTCTCTTCTCCCTTCCCTCTTCTCTCTCTCTCTCCTCTTCTTCTTCCATATTTCTTATATTTTTTCCTGATAATAGAAAGAAATGGAAGATTTTTTTAAGACAAAAGTAGAGACACTAGAGGATTTGTGGTTGATATTGTTTTGTTGATTATGGACCGGTTACTTGTGCATCCTAATTTTAGAGAAATGTCTAGAGCTTCTTTGGTTCATATTTACGGTCATCACTTGATCTAGGTGATGTAGTATCACTGTAATATTGTAAATTAGTTTTGTTCTGTAAATTTGTGCTGCTTTATCGTCTGACTAAGTTAAGTCTTGGCTGAGATCAGGATGTAATCTCTGTTTATTTATTTTAACAAAATCTTATTTTTCCTTGCTATCAAAAAATAAAATAAAAACCTTGACGCTATTGTCAATGGTATGTTCTGTTACATTACCTCTTTGGAAGGCACTATTACTTTGAGCAGATATCATAGTTGAAGTCATTCACTTGTCTAGAGTCAAACTCAAGGTCTGCTACACCAGGAGTTGCTGCTGCAACCACTTGGGTTTATTGTAAAGGAACCCAAAAAGGATGTATAGCTATTATTCAATTGTGCTTGTATGAGACCAGGCCCCTGTTGCTTTGGTTAGGACTAAGGTTGATATGAGTTTTCATGTGTATGTATACATGTGTTATGTTTGTGACAGCATGGTAAAGCATCACCTAGATTGAAGCACATAGCCAATAACCCCTTACTGGAGGCATTAGGGTTTAGATGGTGAATGGCCACTGGGCAATCATCCATATCAAAATAAATTGTAAGAAACTTTGATTTAAACATAATATCTGTCATACTCATAATAAAATAGTAAATAATACTTTTATATGTAAATTTATTTAATCATATTTAGTTATTACTGAATATACTTAAAGGAGCTATTTTATCCTTTAGTTAAAGGTGTTCCATAGTCTAGCACTCTAGCTAAATTGAATTTACCTTATACTTTCACAAAAGGATAGTGTTCAAAGGTAAAGGTGTTTCACAGTTTAGATTGATGGACAAGAGTCAGATGGAGAAGCAGAAATAAAGATAAAAATAGAGATATGAAATTTGAAAAAAAAATGTACTAAAAAGTATTCATACTTGTTTTTACTATATGCACACACATGCATGACCATAATTCAGTAGATCAATGTCTGTTTCAACTGAACTTAAAAAGCAATACTCCAACTACATGGAGTTGGCTACACAAATCCTGTTTCATTGTTCCACTCTATCAAGGGTCATATCCCCTGTCAAATTATGAATCCTCATATTTTGTTACCACTGCAATCCATGTCATTTTCAGCCTTCCCCTAGGCCTGCTAGAACCATCAATTGGCATCAATTCACTCATTATTGCAGTAGGTGGATTTCTATGCACATTCTCAAATCATCTTACTATCCTCACTTTATCACTCATTAAACGTCTTGTAGATTTCCACTGATGCACCATTTAAAATTATATCCATTCTAGACTTCTTTTATTGTTATTATACCCATTCTAAACCTTTTCACTCATCCATAAATCCTCATCTCCAGCATGAATGAGTTGCTTCTTAATTATACATTGTTCCAATATAACATAGCTGCTCTTATAGCCGAATCCGGATCTGCTGGTCACAACACATTGCTAGCCATGCTATCCAGCTGCGCGTCAGGAATGAAATAGATGTACTTCATTCTTGGCCATCTAGTCAACAACTTCTCTTAAAAGCCAATTGCCAATAAGCTACATCACTGTGCTCTTAAAAGTCAACAACTTATCTTTTCTTTTCTTTTCTTTTTCTCTTTTTTTTTGAGAAAGGGCAAGGTGTATAATTAGGGGAAAAGAATGTATGACAAAAATGGTACAAAAAGTATGCTAAATACATGTTATAGTACCATTATGTTCGCCAAGCCCCACCCCCAACAGAAAAAAGCACACAACATTGTGAACAGCATGGGAAGCATTTGTATAAAAAAAGAGGTTGATGCCATCTAATTTACAGTATATACCACAAAGAGTAAAAGCTGTACCTTTTGAACTCGAGCTGTCAACCTTGTCATTGCACTCTTCAGTTTACGAACACGATCCAAATTACGGCTACTAATCTGCATGTTATGATATTGTATATCAAACAACTTAAACAGTAAAGAGAAGTATGGCTAGCAAAACATAACAAGTGATTAGGGCTGTTCGCAGGTCGGTTTGGTTTGGTTGCACTTGATTTTGTCAACTGAAACAAAAAAGTCGGGTTGAATTTGAGGCGAACCAAAACCGACCAATAAAGAGAGAAAATCGATTTTAAATTTCATTTTATTTAACATCGGTTTTAGTTAAACCGAACCGAAATTAATGCTCGTAGCCTAAAAAGGTCGATGGGTCCAACCTGTACCTATATGCTCCCTACATTTCTGACCAGTTGCAGTTGGCTAGTTGAGTGTTAGCCAGTCCCTATATAGGTCCAACCTGTACCTATAGCTGTCTCTTTGGTTTTCACTCCTATGAAGACTCAACTTTTTACTTTTTTTGTCGGTCCCTATATTTAGTTTTTGTCAGTTAGATTATAGATGGAGATGATTAGAAAGTAGTGGTTGTCAATCAAAAGTAAAAGAGATGAAAAATATATAAGATATATGAATTACAAAAGGCAAATATGTGTATGTATTCTTGGGTCGGTTTCACATTGGGTTACAAAAAGCATAACCGCAACTGAATGCCATTTTTTAAACCAAGACCGACCGAACCATTTTAGAAACCGACCATCTCGAGTTGAGTCGGTCCGCTTTGGTCAGTTTACAACATCTTCTGAACAGCCCTACAAGTGATAGAGGAAAACATAATACAGTTTGAAATGAAGAAATTAAACCTCAACGTGAGATACCACATCTAACAAATACAAGCAATTGAAATAGTGCTCCTAAGCTAAAAAGAATGAAGATAGACACAATTGTCACCATGTTCTAACTCTAAGTACCAATTCCTAACAAAACGTAACCTAGTAATGCTGAAATACAAGTTTAAAACTGCAGGAGAAAAACCAAAGTACCAAATCCAAGTGTAGAATCTTTTTCTAAGCAAGAAAGAGAGAAAAGAGAACAGGAGGGCCCTCAGAAACTTGGCCTGCAGACTTATAGACCATCATGATCTGCAGACCTATAGATTATCATGGTTGTCATCATTTCAGCTTCCATTTTATGTAGAACATAGCCGAGAAGAAGCCCCCTAAGATAACAAGAAGAAAAAACATTTACGAGATCAACAGCATAGTGTGTTTCTTCATCTTCCATCTATTTGGTAGATTCTAAAATGACAAGGGAGCTAGTCAATCTTTGAATCCACAAAATAATAGATTCTGTCCGGTATTTTCAATTCTGCCCCCCAACCCAAAAACAGCTTTACATAAAGAGGCCAAGGGAACAATTTCTTTGTCAAGCAAGACAAATGGAAACCTACTAGTATCTGGCACTAAGTCTCTAACAGGAATTCCATGATATGGGTTGGAAATCCTCCAAACTGAATTTATAAACCAGTACATGCAAAAGCCTCTATGGCATCACATCATCTAAAAAAATCCATAGCATCAGCCAACCACCTTTATTAACAGGAAACTATGGACATTATAAGCTTACAAGCTACCAGATTACCAGAGGAGATTTGGGTAAGCATCAGAAATTAACAAGTCACTTACCTTGGAGGTCAATTCATCTAAAGCTGGGTAAGCATCAGTCTCCAGTTCTGTTGTGCGTGCACCAAGGAAACTACAAATAGCTTCAAGTGCTACTTCTAGGGCTCGAAACTCAAATGGAGACTCTACAATGCATGATTCTACACCGTTAAGAAATCAAACAATAATAGAACTTAACACTAAAAGAGAAGGAGAGGGAAACTGCAAAGAACTGTTCAAAAACTTAGACCAAAAAGGGAAGGCAACATCCTGACAAGAAGATGAGACCTCGTCTAACAAATAATTAATCAATAGGCATTCCGAATTTGGGTCGTTCTGAATCAATTCTTTTAACTTCAAACAATTACAAACATTAAGTTGCAAAAGAGAACTAAAACCTTATTGGAAACAGAAAGAGGCATCATTTACTATAACATACCGTCTTCTTCACTCACTTCAACATCATTGTGCCCACTCCGGTTTTCTCTCCCATCTCCTTGGATATTGCAGGCATTTACAGGGGGTAATCGCCTTTTAAGTTCTTCAACAATAGGAATAACATTATCATCATGAGGATCTCTAAGCAATACCTATCGCAAGAGACAAAACAAATAGTGAAATCCTATTGAGAAGATTGCTTTTCTCTTTTACTTTACACTTTATCCAAACAAGCTTGACAGTCAGCATTGAAGTTACTTAGAGCTTATGGAGATTTTTCAAACAGGAAGTTTATCAATCAAGAACGCTAAATGAATAAGTGACAGCTGAAGTAAGCCGCTGAAGTTGCTAAGTTAAGTTTACTTCTAAGAATTCAGACCACCAAAATACTGATATTACAAAAAAACATGAATTAGCAACTAAACACAATGCTGGAGAAGAGAAAGAACAAAGAAGTATGAAAAGCTCACCTCTTCTGCAGTGATTATAGCTTTAATATGCTGAATACAAAATGCCAAGACAAAACAGCCAAAGAGTAAAACTAAATTAGCAAAAAAGTTAGTGACTGAACAGTATAAAAGACACCAAAGAAAGAACCCAAGAAAAGTGAAGTTCAACCTCTAAATTGAGAACAATTGCCTTTTCTCGACCCAATATCGTCGAAGGATACGACAATAGAGGATCGAGGATCCGGAGATCTCTAGCATGAATCTGAACTCGGTGCATGATAGCATACTTGTCGACATCCAAGATCGTCCCTTCACCGGTACAATCCAACAAAATCCAGCTCCTCGAGACGGCTGTTTTCTTCTTCAGAGACGCTTGAGGATCCGCAGGGACGATGTATCCGTCTCGAGCCATCACTAACCATCCCAAATTACATCCCAGGAACAGAAACCCTAGTTGAATTTCGCACGAAAGTCCCAGAACCGGCAAAAGCTATCAAGCTTTCCCCGGGTCTTTTTTTTCGAAAGGCAGGATTCACACAATCAATGGAGAATCCGATACCATATGGCAAACATTGGTTCTAACAATATAGTTCAGTTCTGGCGATAAAGAAGTGTAAATTAGGGCTTCAGTTTGGAGAAAGAAACCTAGAAATCACCATGAACGGAAGCTCTGTGTGAGGTCGTTACATGGCTAGTGGGCGCGCGGGAGGTAACGCCCCTGTAGCATGTAAATAAATAAACGGTCAGAATGAGAAGTTTAAAATTGTGTTCCTTTTAACCTGTGAAAACTGTACTGGGTACAGTGTCTTCTGGCCAGTTCCCATCAATGCTCCCTGTCCCAGCTCACACAATGCACATGTCTAAACACTGAAGACTAGAAAGTGTTAAGATGTGCTCGATCGCATTCTAACATAAATAAGGTCGACTTCCATTGCTTTCTTTCGGATTCGGGAAGAATGTGACACAGGGCTGTCAACGGGTCGGGTCTGGATCGGAACAAACTGGAACCGGAACCGATCCAACATGAAACGTTAGGACCCCGACCCGGACCCGATGTTGTTTGTAATTTTTGGACTCAACCAAATCGATCGGTTCTTGGGGCAATCAGGTATGACCCGACAGAATTGTAATAAATATTTATGTTTAATGTATATTAAATATTATATATACATATATTATACATTATATGTATATATATTATTTAATATTATATATATATATATTGGGTCTTGTCTGAATCGGTTCAGGACTAGGTGGAATCAGTTTTGAACCAATAGTAATTGGGACCCTATATTAGGACTTGAAACCAACCCGCCGATTCCAATTCCCGGAACCAGAACCAACCCAATTGATTCGGGTTTATTGGATTGGACCCGACCATTGACAGCCCTAGACACATTTACCTCACAATTGGCCATTGGCCAATGGAAACATAATTTTAAGAGATGTATTAGGACATACTTTAGATATATGAATGAAAAATTAAGATATGCATAAATATGTTAAGAAACTCAAATAAATCCTAAAAAATATATTAATAACAATAATTATAAATTTTATACGATTGTAAATAAGTTATTTAAATGTAAAAAATCATGATTTAATGGTTTATATAAAATTTGAGATATCGGGACACAACTAGTAACATTTGAAAAATGATGGAATAACTAAAATGTGTATATATATACATTAATTTTCAAATAATCAATATAATTTATTTTAATATTTATTAATATATAATTTTTAATAATTAATTCTAGCATTTATTGACAACGCACCCCTTTAAAAAGAGAAAATTTACTTAAAAATAAAAATGCATATAAGCATAGCAAACAAATGGGTTTGGCCTAGTGGTGAACTTATGGTTGTTAAAACCTAATGAATAAGGTTCAAATCTTGTTATTGCTAAACTTTTTAATATTTACACTAATAAAACGAAATTAATGAGAGAGGATCATTAATTAACAAAATTAATGAGAAATAATTCGAATTAGGTGCTAAAGTTCAAATTCATATTTAAAATGATGCCTTAAATTTTAGGAGTAATTAACTAATTAATGAGATATAGAAATTAGACTAAAATATAGGAGTAATTAATGAAATTGATGAGAATTCAACCTTAAATATAGATTAACAAAGTTAATGAAAGAGAAAGGACCTAAAGCGTAGTTAGTGTATTTGGCCGTATTTTAGGCCCGTATTTAATTTCTACATGTTCCAGGTATCATGCTTGTGTTGGAACGATACGTTGCAAAATTTGGAACCTTGCCCAAGTAATTCCAATCGAACTGAATGAAACTAGCCTCGAACTAGCCCTATCCAACCTGTTATCGAGTATGGTCTAATTCCAAATTCTTGGAACTGACCCCAACCCAACCCAAGCCAATTCCAAGGTTTGCAAGGTTACCCTACTTGAACAGTCTCAAAAAATCGGCATTAATTGGCCTTGGTTGCCCTTGGCGGAATCAAATTTGCCTTGAAATAAATCTCAAAAATACTCTGAGTATGTGAAAATTTGAATCCAAGCACACATGTTTACAAAGAGCATGGTCTCACTTGAACCCTATCTTTACCTTCCTACCCCTACCTTTTCTTTCAAATCAAACACAATCTAAGCCACTTAAGTGAATTGATCATTTTCTTTAATTTAATATTTGAATGCGTATAATAAGTAATGTAAAATGTAATTTTTACAAAATTTAAATTATGACAAAAAGTTTTGAACTATATAATCTACAGATTAAATTACTCAATTTAATCAATAAAGTTAATATAAGCTTTTAACTTTATTATTATTATTGAAATTTAAGCTTCAACATTTTACAACTGCGATTTCTAATCAATAATATAATTGATAATAACACTATCAATGATACAATTTGTGATTATATAATTACCTCACATTTACAATTTTTAATGTTAAAAACATAACATATAGATACTAAATTCAACAACAGATATAGCTATCTAATTTTATTCTTAATATTATGAAACAATGTTTTTTAAAGAATAGGGGGGTTAAGAAAAAATAAATTTCATGATAGACCTTAGAACTGGCAAGACCAAAACCAATCTTACAAGGTATTCTAGGCTTGCCTTAGAATCAAACCAAACTAGCCCATGCTCACCCCTACTAAAAGCACTCAAAGATTGTTCAACATTCAACAGCATGATTGGTTTTGTTTTTGAACACAAAAAACAGCAGCCACATCAAAATGCATTGTTGCAAGTAATGTGAGGAGTAAATCTGGATTCCCAAACAGAATGCAATAGCATGGTTCCAAGCACCCAATTGAGTAGAACTGGGATCCCCTACACCTATTAGTTATTATTGTCCTTTCGATTGATAGTTTGTATAAGTTATCACTTGATGAGAATCTCTTTTATTAGCTAGTGTATATCATCATTTTCTAGATGATCCTATGCCCTATAATAATATGATGTGTTTTATATGTATACTGATGTTTTTTAAAAGACTTTTTGAATTGTGTATTTATTGAAAATAAAAATTTGAAAACTTATAAATTTATCTTTGTATTTTTTTTTCTTTTGCATGTAAGCTTGGAGTCAATGGTGAGATAATATTCTAGAGTTGAATTTTGACTTTGGTTATAATTACTTTTAATTTTTTTCCAGAGGAAATTAAACTTTTTTATATTCAAGACAAGAAAGCAAATTCGGAGTAAATTCAAATCCAACCCGAGATTCTTGAATCCTACCAGATTTGCATTTAGATTGGGTAGGTGTTTGGCATAGAGTCCATGCTCAGAGCTCGGGTCCACGCTCAGCCTGTGAGTAATGACCGAAGGGTCAATTCTGGGCATGTCAACGGCGGACCAAGCAAAGATGTCGGCATTAGTTCTGAGGAAACTTACTAGTTCAGATAGGCATTCAGGGGGGGAGGTTGGACCCAACGTGGACTATCCTCTCTGGGGCTGAGTCATCCAGGTGAGCCGAGACGAGGTCCTCGGCTCGCTGGTTCTTCCCGACGGTCGAGGCCCTCCAATGATAAGGCCTCCTTATTTTTTCCTTTTAGCGCTGCCATGTACCATTGGTGGGCGATCAATTGGTTCCCACGAACGACTCTAATGCCGTGCTCAGTGGGAAACTTAAGGGCCAAGTGCTAAGAGGAGAGTCAACCTTCACCACTAGGAACTCATGCATCCAAGTTACCTGGGGTGGCATTGTCACTACTGTGATGGGTAGGGTAATCTTTCCTTCTGGCATTGTGACACTGTTGGAGAAGCTGACGAGAGGAGCGTCCGCTGGCTGGAGCCTCTCTAGCACGAGCTTCATTCTCTCATAGGTGTCATAGAAAATGATGTCGGCTGACGAGCCGCTATCAACTAAAATATTTTTCACCATAAAATTGGAGATAATGGTTGTAACCTTGAGGGCATCGTTGTGGGGGACAGTAACCCTCTCTAAGTCCTCATCGGTGAAGACGAGGGCAGGTGAACATCTCGGCCTCTATGGAGTGTCCGGGTATTTCTGATTTTTCGGGGCAGGCTCCTAGATGTTGAGCTGCCTGGCATAGGCTTTTCGAGCCAGAGCCGAGTTTCCACCGATGACGTCGATGACGCATGCCACTTGCTGGTGCTGGTGCTGGTGCTGCTGTTGTTGCTGGGATGATGAGGTGTCGGCCTCTCCTTCGACGAACTGCTTGAGGTGTCCTCGGCGAATGAGGGACTCTATTTCATTCTTTAGATTGCAGTATTCCTTGGTGTCGTGTCCAGTGCCGCAGTGGTACTTGCAGTACTTCGTAGGGTTCCCCCTCTTGGGGTTCTGCTTCATGAACTTCTCTTCCCCTATTTGCATCAGAATCTGGGAGCGGGTGGAGTTGAGTGGCGTGTAGTCGCTGTAGGCCAGGGTGGTGGGATTCTTGTTGTCTTTACCGCCATTGTTGTCAGGGTGGCACTGGTCTCCACTTTTCCTCTTCTTCTCAAGGGGCCCGTCATGGCACTCGACTACCCTTTCTTGGTTGTCCCCGACCGAAGCCTCTTCGGCCACGATATATTTCTAGGCCTTCTTGAGGAATTCGAGTTTGATCTTCGGCGGGGTCTTGGCAACCGAGCATTTCAGAGTTGAGCCGAGGTGGAGTCCATTGATGGCTGCATGCATGGAGACCATAGGGTCGAGGTCTTGAACTTCGAGCACTTCTTTCTTGAAGTGGTCAATGTAAGACCGCAAGTTTTCACCCGATTCTTGTTTGACTGACATCACAGAAACTATGCTCTTTTGGCATCGCCTGCTGCTGATAAAGCGAGCAAGGAATAGGGTTGTAAATTGCTCCCATGAGCTGATTGATTGAGGAAGACTAGAGAACCAACGGTGAGCGGCCCCCCTGAAGGTAGCTTGGAAGGTCTGGCACGTCAAGGCGTTGGAATACCCGTACAGTATCATGAGCGCTCTGAAACCCTCTAGGTGGCCATCGGGGTCAGTGCTTCCATCGTACGTCTCCAGTGTGGGAGCCTTGAAGTGTAGGGGGAGAGGCTCCGCGATGATTTCCTAGGTGAATGCATCCATGCGACCAATGGAGTTGCCATGACAGGTTTAGGCGTCAGCTCGGCTCTCCTTAACCTGGCGGAGCTCATCCTTGACGGCCCCAATCTTGGCTCGCAACTCGATGATCCCTGGATCGGCATGGGCATGGACCCTACTCTTGTCTTCGTGGACCCGATGGGTGTCGGCTCAAACTCCCAAATACTCCGAGATAGGGTCACGTGCTCCTCTACAGGCGCGACGGTCATTCCGAACGTCCCTGAGGTCTGAGACAGGGGGTGGAGTGGGATGGTGTCGGCTCTCGCCCCGGGAGCGAACTCCAAGGTGGTCGAATTACCT